GCTTGATTGACCACCCTTCTGCAGAAGTGCATCCAACTGCCCACATGCTGCTGCAATAAGTCCTGTACATTGAACAAGTACTTAAATTTGAGTTTTAGAATTTCAACCAAATAATTTAGATTTAACTTTATGTATTAATAGCTGAAAAAAAATGGTAACATATTATATGTATTTGCTAGTTAGGTCAAGCATTTACAAAGTCAAGTTTAGGTAACAGGTCAAAAGCATCATTTTCTAAGTACAAGATTGACCCTGCAAAGACCCACTAATTTAGGTAACAGAAAGCTGTTACTTTGTTATATACCCCTATAAAGCATCATACTGGAGATTCAGAGATGGGGGCATAAACAAAAGTATAAGTTTGTATAAATACCTAAGAAAAGTGCAGAAGGTTTTCCTGGCCTGGACTTGAATTCAGGATGGAACTGAACACCCACAAAATATGGATGTGTTTGCAGTTCAGCAATCTGCACCCAACATAGAAGTACAATGCTCATAAATACCAAAGACCAAACTCCATACAGAACTGATAATTTAAATGTTCCAAGCCCATAGAATGGGTTTTTGAACAGCATTTCTTCTTAGGTATTTTTACCTCCATCCGCTGCCCACTTTCATCTCTGCCAACAAATGATAGACCAGCAGCTTCTAGTTCCACTATCATATCAGGATTGACCTACAAAACATCACTATCATTAGAAAGCTTGCAAATAACCCAAGTAGGGTGTAATGCACATTTCTTCTTTCCAACATACAATGTTATGTAACCACAAACATAACTACATATGGAAAACACACCTCATATCTATGTCGATGCCTCTCATCAACAAAGCTTGCATTGCCATACCTAGAAGGAAATCAATCAGGCATGAATCATAGAATTAAGATGCTCAAAGTTCAAACCTCTAAAGTGAGAAGTGTGCAAGAGTCTTCATAAGCATGTAAGCTTAGGGAATCGTATGCCCTTACAACTTTGCAGATTTGCAGTTAGTAACCTTGAAGTAAGTCCTCCTTGACCCCAGACGCATAGTTCCTCCCATATGAGTTTTTGAACCCTGTTAAATTAAATGATGTATGGTTCATTAATGAAACAAATGAGACTAAAAGGGAAGTTTCTTTTATATTGTGTAAAACGGTATTATTTTACTCACCTCTGGCATAAATTTGACACAAGGATTTGAAGTTTGAGGATCAAACTCAGTGCTGTTTGCATCCTGCAAACCTAGGACTGAGCGTGCATACTCGATAACAGCAATTTGCATCCCTAGGCAAATACCAAAGAAGGGAACTTTGTTTTCCCGAGCATACTTTGCTGCAAGAATTTTCCCTTGTACTCCTCTATCACCAAACCCTCCTGGAACTAAAATGCCATCAGCATCCTGCAATGAAAGCCAGTTAAATGGACTCAGAAACAAAATATGGCAAGCAAAAATGGAAAATATCAATCAGAATGGTCAGATTTAAGTCCCATTCTCAGAGTAAAACCACCTTCAAGCACTTCCATGCAGCTTTATAAACATCAGGTGCCTGCAAGAAGAAAACAATATACATGTTGTAAGACCTAGTTAGAAATAAAACTACCGTGCTGCTTGGGCAAGGTGTCAGTGGGAATGTTAAGCAAGTGGTGATTTGGGCTTTACAAGCAACACAAAATGCAAGAATTAGTGCTGCAGCCATTTAAAAGCAACACTCACCTCTGCTGCTATAGCATCTTCAAGATCACCTGCTGCAACCCACTCTACAACAAGCTTCTTACAGCAAGCAACAGAAGCATGCAAAAGAGCCTACCACAAAAGAATAAAATATTGGAATCCAAACATATCACGAGACACATACTCCAAGTTAAAATTTTAACTGTTCCTGGAAATTCCTCATTTCATTACACATCAATGAATACACTTAAGCATTTAAGCATTAATTCTTGTACGTCCACCATCATTCTTGTTCTTGGTATCTTATGAAGAGAGTAATTAGAAGAAAAGGGAGTACAAGCCCTAGTAGATAAACAAGTTCACTGATAACTCATCAAAAAGTATGATAAAGATGAGTGTGCTTTCTATGTTTTTTCAATTCAAAAAGGATTCACCTTCAAAACAGAGAGGTAAGAATCTGAGAGACCAGTGTATTTTCCAACCATGGCAATTTTAACCTGCAATGCACAACCCAGAACCTAATGACTTCCACATTATGCAGGCAGATATATTTATATTTGACTATAAGAATGAGACCCACAGGATCATGCAGCATGTCATAAACTTTTGTCCTTGCAGTCCATTCTGTTAAATCAGGTTCCCTGGCAACTCTGCAATTTATGAAAACAGAAATATGAAACTATGAAAGTCAGATGCTGCAGCACTAAGATTGTTAAAGAGAGGAGAAGTGGGCAAGAGATCATTCAAGGGTGAAGATGAGCTTGTGAGACAAACCTGGGAAGGTTGAGTCCTTTCAAGATTGCTTCATGTGCCTTTTGATCCTATTCATGTTCAGATAAACAAAATTAAAAAGAAAAAACTTTTCATGTTATTATTTTAAGGAAAGTATAGTCAAGAATAATCTTGTGGCAAGACTACTTACTCTCAATAGTAGAGGAACGTGCCAAATATTTGGAACATCATATAGTGTGAAAATATTCTCAGCCTGGAAATAACTCAATTAGCTTAGAAGTGGTACTTACTAATTTAGACAGATCCGGAGAAACAAATAACAGAATTTTGTTACCGGGACATGACAAAATTGAGAGAGCTTTGCCTTCACATTATCCTCAAGCGCCTGTCATAAAATAAATTAATAAATTAATCAGAAAATTTGGCATGTCATTGAAATGAATAAAGCAATAAAGGTGAATGAGAACATAAATATGAAGTGATATTTAGGGAATAAATCAGAAGCAAATAAGAATAAAAATAAATATACAAATACATCAGAAACATGATACCACCACTGACACAAATACTTAAGAAAGTATGTAACTATTAAAAAGGAACAGGGGTGACCTTTGTGCTACGGCAAGCTAGAATATTTGGCGTCAGACCAAGTCCTCTAAGTCCCCGAACACTATGCTGGGTAGGCTTTGTTTTCTGTTATTTAAGCATTTAATTGCAAAGATAGTTAGTAGCAATGAGCGATCACCTTCATATGCATTAAAATTAGATAAAAAATATAGAAGGCAATGCCATAGTAATGCATTAACAGATAATATTTGTTTTACCTGTTCTCCGACAGCATTCAAAACAGGCACAAGGCTGACATGAACCAAGCAAAAATTGTCCGCACCTAAAACAAGAAATATTTGTTAAATACCAATAGAATGACATGGAAATACAAACCAGTTTTCATACGTCCATAAATTGAATAAGAAAGGTAAAATAATTCCTACCTATGCGATATGAGAATCGGGCAAGTGCCTCAGTGAATGGCATAGATTCAATGTCCCCTGAATCAAGAAGAGCTGCTAAGAAAACTAAGACCAACAAAATAGCTCAGCCAGATATGGATTAATAATGTTAACATACCTATGGTTCCACCC